TTTTTTTTTTTTTGGAGGGGGGGGGGGCGGGGTAAATTATTTAAGTCAAGGTTGTCAAACTTGTTTTGCAATGCGTTTAATGTTTCTAAAATAATGCATCGTTTATCATAAGATAAGATTCGCTTAATTTAAAATAAACATATCAATCAATATATATAACTAAAGATGAATAAATATCTATAGTTAAAAATAATATTAATACTATTTTTGTGCCCAACGTATTGTCTGTAGAGACTGAAAGAGAGACAGTACTTTGGTCTTTGCGACAGAGATCAACAAACAAGAAGTTAGGAATTTGATTGTTTGAAGAACATGAATAAGAAGGTAGGAAAAGCAAAAGTGAATTGGAGGAGAATCAGATGGTGATTGAAGGTTCATCTCTGATCAAACCAAAAAAGGAAAAAAAAAACTATAGCAAATAATGTTGTTTCACTGTTTATGGTTTTAAAAAAGCCTTGAAAAATGACATTTTTCTGGTTATCTCAGAGTGCAACAACAAAGTTCAAAGAGTGAAGGAAAAAGATCACGACTAACCCTCATATCGATTAGGCAAATTGCACAACCTCATCGTTAATTTTTTTGTAACACAACATTCCAACTAATAAGATTAGCTAGAAATTTATAGGCAACTGTAGTTCTACTAATTCCATTAGGACTAACCAATGAGTCTTTGGTCTAATGGTATTTCTTACCTTGTGAAAACTTTACCTTGTTGAGGTCAAGGGTTCAAATCCCCCCCTCCTACTCTCCCTCTCCCTCTCCCAAAAAAAAATCCTATTAGGACTAGGGTAGAAAAAAAGAAAAAAAAAGGGAAAGAAACTGTCACTCTTCAACTCTTGATATTATTTTTTAGAAGATTCTTCATTTCAAAGAAAAAAATTGAATGGCATTCTCTAAGAAGACTGACTAGGCCAAGTTTAAAATGCAAGACACCATTTGGTAACATTTTTTTAAAATAACTCTTTTTTTTTAAAACATTTTTCCTTTTTTAAGCAAAAAATAAAAAGGTAGCATCTGTTTTTGCATTAAAAAAATAATAAAATTTAAAAAACAAAATACAGAAAATAATGTTTTTGTCTAAAAGCTAAAAAAAAAAAAACCTAAGCACACACACCAAACACAATAATACATCGAAACACACACTAATACACCCCAAAAAACACACTAATATAAAAATACACACGCCAAACATTGAATAAACTGTGGTGTTTATGTGTACATACAGAAGGGGAGGGGCAATGTTTTTGTATAACTTACTAACTTTCGGAGGAGGTCCATTCACCTTTTTTTTGTCACTTATGGGATGAAACTTACTTTTGTTGAAATTTTTTTACTTTTCAATCTATAATATAAAATAAAATAGGATATAATAAAAATCTCCGACGATTTGACGATTTCAAATTAACGGCCAACAATACCCTCCTTAAAACCATTCGTATTATACCGTGTCTTCTTACATAGACACCAAAAAGTAAAAAAATCGGTACCATACTATTCACATAATATTCTATCTATTAGATGTTACAGTTGATCAATTATGCTTAATCAAATGAGTTGATTAGATTCAATAACATAATTAAGAAAATTAATTTTAATTGAAAATCCATTAAGGGATTTAATCAGATTGAGAAAGTGAAATTCACCGTAATGAAAAATTTGTAGTTGGACGAAATGGGTTACTATTGACACAGAAATAGGAATTTAGTTATCTACTTCATTGAAATTAAACTTTTATTGTCCAATTCCACGATCATTAAAAAATCTGCAAACAGAGAGATAATAAATGGGTTTGTTTTTAAAAAAGAAAATTTGAATTTAGAACAAAATTCAAGACAATAGTAAATAGGAGCAAAAATTCATATTTCACTTCAAATCCATCATCTCTTACCTACACTGTCATTACCATTCCCATCTGTATATACAAAGATCATAAAATGAATGGAGGTAATTGCCACACTATTTCCAAATGCTAAACACATTAACCATGTACCTTTGAATTTTAGAATCATAAGCAAAATCAGAGCAAACTTAAAAGCTATTTCCTTTGATGTTCGACACACTAAAAACAAATTTAGATCTGATTTAGAGAGAGAGAGAGAGAGAGAGACGGCTACTATATATTACACAAGAAGAACATAGAGCATCACCAGCTATGTCACAAATTTACACCCCATCCAAAATGAAAACATGCATGATATAACTAACTGAGAACAAGCTAGACCAACAGTTGCCATAGAACACAAGAATTTACCCCCTCGCCAATACCTGGTGAATGATAGTTGGAAAAAATTTTACTTTATGCACAACCCAAAATTTGCTTTCAACCAAAATTGGGAGGGAAGGTATGGCAAAGTATATATCTTCCATCTGCAGAGCAAATCACCAAATATGAAGCACTGCTAGAAATGATAGCCTTCGCGCGAAAACTAGCCACATATAGACACACCAAAGAAATATCCATTTAATTGATTATTATCATCAAGCTCTTACCAACTTTGTTTCACTTGAAAACAAGTTTTGACAGCCGACAGCAATAGAATATTAGCAACAACTAATGCTTTGTACCATGATGTGAATTTCTCGTAACAGTCTTACTTTCCACTAATAAGTAGTGTGTCTACCTCCATTATTGAAAAAATCATGGGAGCTTATTGGCGACGTTTCAACATTAAACTAAGCAGTAAGTGATGAAACAAAATATCCATACAACGAATCCTATATACCCTGCAGCCTGTTTGACAGAATAATCTATTTCGTAGACCAATCAAATGAAATTATAAAAATAGAAAGAGGTGTACCGCCGTATATGTATCAGAGGGCAAGTCTCTCAATTAGTTTATCATGAACTCCATGAAAACTAAACCTCCATCATTTAGGGTGTCATGTCTCAGGAAAGCTATCTCCCGACAAAATTGAATTAGAGATGCTGGACAGAGAAATTACAGGCAATACANAAAACTAAACCTCCATCATTTAGGGTGTCATGTCTCAGGAAAGCTATCTCCCAACAAAATTGAATTAGAGATGCTGGACAGGGAAATTACAGGCAATACGTTAATGATTTTTATCCATGTCACAATATGCTGGGAATAGAAGATTTTGATCTATGAAAGAACTTACCAGAGAAGAATAGTCTGCCTATTTCGACTTGAGATTAGCCATAAGTTTCCTCAAATCCTGTCCTTGTTGCTAAAAAAAATAAAATAAACTGCTCAATATGATGAATGAAGTCCAAGGAAGTAGATCTAAAGAGAAAACTCCGATACAAATAGACATATGAGCATGTTAACCCATTCCAAACCTTGTGAAGGCTCTTCCACCAACTGTCAGATCTGGATTGTAGTAAGCACCATTCCATAGCCATTTCGTATTCAATTGTGTTAGGCTGAGAACAATGTGAAGTAGATACAGCTTCTTTCTGAACAATAAGGAACTCCAATCACATTCACGAGCTAGTAAAAGACTCAAGATGCCAGAATAAGCAAAGGTTGGATAAGTGTTTTTATACATTCCACCATAGTGAAAAGCGCACTTAGGCACGCACCTAGGCCCATGGCGAGCCAAGGCACACTTGAAGCACTTCAATGGGCGTAAGGCGAAGCGACTTGGCTAAGGAGCAATCAAGGCACACAAAGTGTGCGCAACGGTATTAAGCCTAAGGCGCTTGAGTAATGATCAAAATATCATCTTGAAACGGGCGAAACGTTTCCGTTTCCGAGGAGATTAAAACGAATCAGTGATGAAATCGAAATTCTGATACTTCAAGGTGTTCCATAATGTTTTGAAATATTTTTATATTTCAATATATTTGTACAATTATTCCGAAATATTTCAAAATATTTTGCACAAGAAATTTTTTTTCAATATATTTGCACAATTCTTTATTTATTTTTTATTTTTTTCATTATGTTTCCGAAACGGGTTGAAACGTTTCCGAAACACATCGAAATATTTTCATTTCTTAGATAACCGAAATAATGCACCAAAACAAAATTTTAATCTTGTCCATGAGGCATGGGCTTTTTCCCCCTCAATTTAGTGGTATGCTTTGGGCTTATTGTCTACTAAATTTATCCAAAACATTTGACATACGTAACACCACCTTAGAATTCCAAATTTAACTGTTTAATTCTATCTTTAAACACCACATGTGAATTTCAGAGATCCACTCTAATCTAACTCGAACAATAAGTATCTTTTGGGCGAGACAAAATGGGCAAGCAATGATGGTCTAGCGTCCGAGCCAATTGGTCAGACGACGACTACTAAGACTGTTGATCTCTGTTTTTTCCTTTATTTTCATCATCCTCGCTCGCTTTCTGCATGACTCGGATCTCTCTTTCTCCAATTTTCTCTTTCCTTCTGTTTTTGTGAAACAAATAGGGAGCCGCTAGTTTGGTTATTGAAATTCAGTTAAATAATCTTGAAGTTGTTGTGGGTTCGAACTAAAGTACAATCACTTTCTGCAAATAATGCTAAAGATCATATCTGTATCAAATCTATCCCTCAAAGACCTAATGAGGACTAAATTGGGCTTTATTTTTTTGCTGTGAAACTAGCTCCTATTTTATTGAAACCACTTATGTTTTTCTAAACAAATAAACATCATTTTTTGTTTCAATTAGCTCTTAATATTTTAAATAAACTTCTGCTTTTTAGAAATATGTTCCATTTCCTTGAAATTTTCTGACAATTAATGAGTTCATATAATTCTACAGTGTAATTTATAATTTCTACGCAAGCGTTTAAGCCCCGGGAGACCTGTACCTGTATGGGTACCTGGAGTGCGTGTGTGGGTGACTGGGCACCTGTGTGTGTGTGTGTGTGTGTGTGTG